GGAAGCTCTCCAAGGGAGATATGTAGTATGATGAAGGCCCCTTACATGTAGATCCCTTGTTCAGAGTGGTATGCAGGTTGGTGAATTAGATATGTTGGATACTCAGCTAGGTGAGGCGAATGGGGTGGAAGCGGGATACCTCAGACGCCAGGATATTTGATGCGTTCCTACAAAGAGGAAATTTGAGTGTGGCAGTTCAGATCCCATTGGCCATTTCAAAAGCTCTACACACCAGCCCGATTTAGTTGCGATCTTGTGAACAAGGTATGTTGAAAATTCTCTGGGAGTCTTCTGGAAATGTGTTGGTTTCAACGCACGTCCCCCCAACGTATTGGTTCCCAGTCTTGATTGCCACATACCCCCTCGTTCTTCCAGTGACGTGTTGCCATCTGAGGCAGGGGCACAATGTGAAGCCCACAGCCATCACCATCGGCTGCGTGGTGGAGGCCCTGGTCATCAACAAGCAGGGAGAGGAGGCCTGGCAGCTCGTCCAGGACCGAAGCTTTCGTTTTGCACCTGAGTGCTTCACGAATTTCCCCCAGAGGTCTGTCACCCTTCAAAGGTGCTCCAGCCTCAAACTTGCGCTTTTTGCGGTCGGACTTCTCATCCCTCGTACTTATTTGGGTGTTTTCCTCGTTGGGTTATGGCAGACAGCGGCAAATCATTGCCTAACAATGACCATGTGACCTTCGAGCTTTAGGGGGCACTCTTCGCGAAGGCTACTTTCTTCCGACACTCGAGAGAAAGACAAAGGGGCCCGCTGCCACAACCATTTCCTTTCGTACCTGGTTCAATGCAGATTGCAGTACAGCCTTTGCACAGCTGCCGATTCCGAACTCCCCCGACCACTGCGATCATGAAATAGGAATTGCCGAAGTTGGAGCTTCATGAGTTTTTTCTTTCAGATGGGCTCGCAATTGATTTTGACATTGGAGGCTGACTTTACCATAGCAAGCATTGCTGATTCAAGTCACGAATCATACATATCGAACCTGGGGCAGGGTCAAAGTTTGACTTACTGCCGCAGGACCAGCTGCAGTACCCGGACCGTGCCTCGGCGCACTTTTGCCGACTCCCTTTCTGGGCTGTCACGCTTTTTTTTTGTTGCGAGTCGCAATCCACATCAGGAAAATATTGTCTAACGTGAACCTGTTCAGACCCAGGCAAATCTGTGTAGGGCAGGAAGGGAGCCAATCAAGTACGAAAATTAATAGACAAGGCGCGAAAACTGATTTCAGTTGATCAAGAGTAAAAAACATACCTCAATGAAGGGCACTTTTTTGGATCGTGTATCTTTGATTTCAATTAAACTTGTTTCACCAAACCAGATGCATGGTATTTGGCTAGTAGTAGCACACCCCTAGCTTTTGCTGTTCACACGCAACAGGCACATCAATATCCTGCTCCAATAGAGCTCGAACATTGGTTCGTCAAGTCGTTTCAGAGGGATCCGTCATCTCGTTCAAAGGGAGAATGCGGTTGGGGTGATCTTAAACCAGGGTTAATCAACTCCTGCTGGAGGGGATGGAAAAGCCCCCATAATCCTTGCTTTGAGGCAAGAGCATGATCAACACCGTGGTGTACTCCACAGTGCTGAAGGGCTTCGCTGTGTCCAAACGCATTGACAAGGTGCTGGCCGTGTACAAGGCTAGCGGGAAGGGCATCAGAAAGGGATGGAAGGTCATGGTGTGAAGCAAAGCTGTCCTCGCAGAGCTTCAGTTGCTTCATGTCAGGAATGGGACACGGCGCCAGGAGATGCGGAACAACAGCATCGCGTGCAACACCATCACCTACAACACGATGCTGGATGCCTGTGCCAAGTGCAGCGCCATGGACAAGGCCCGGATGGCCCGGATATGCAGAAAGGTTGGCAAGGTGTGGAATCGAACTGGTGGAGTGGAGATGAGGGCCCTCGCAGTTCACCAGAGCATCTGAAACACGTGCATTAGATCAACTCCTTTAGTTTAGCTTAGCCATAGTTCGACTTCCAAACATTGCGATGCCTCTCCCAAAAGTGCTGGGGGTGCCGCTTTTGGTTTCGCCCCATTTCCACGACAGGCCTCGGTGTTGCTGGAAGACATGCGGGAAGCCAATATCGAGCCGGACATCATCACCTACTCTACCATCATCAAGGGCTACTGCCTCACGGGCGACGTGGACCGCGCCTTCAGCGTGCTGGAGGAGATTATTTCACAGTTGCCGCCGTGACAGCCATCGAGCAAATGGAAGTTAGGGGTGGATTGGGGAGGTTGTTGGGGTACTTCAGCAGGGCATGGCCAGCAAACGTTCAAAGGAAGGCCTTGAAATGCGGTCGAATGTCAAAAGGCTTGCGCCACTTTTCGGCAAGCTGCACGTTGTGAATGACCCAATGCAAAAATTATCTTGCTTTTGCCGTCATGGCCCAGCTGAGGCAGCTTGCAAACAGGCGCAGAACCAGACAGTGCATCGCATTCTTGTGCACTGACTGGATCGGCAGCGCGCGGCCACACACCCAGGCCAATACGTTTTGATCTAGTTGAGCTACTGGGCCTCGACAAGCGACTGGTGGTTTTGTTCTCCCCTTGTGACCCCAAACAAGGGGGGTTCCCCACCCCGGATTCCTCCACGAGAACTTGTTTCCAGAGGGAAACTACGAGGAGATGAAGCGTGATGGGCACTTTACCCCGGACGAGATCATGTACAACTCCATTCTGGATGGGTGCACCAAGCAGCGGAACGTGAGCGAGGCCCTACGGGTGCTCGAGGAGATGAAGTCCTCCGGGATCCGGCCCAGCAACTACACGCTGAGCATCCTGGTGAAGCTGCGCCGGCCCCGGATGGAACAGATAGAGATAGCCGAATGCGTTGAGACTTGCTCCTTGCGCTCATTTTAAGAGGAAGCCGTACGTACAGTAGAAAGGCACAGACAATTTGGAGACTAACTACAGATTGGTGAAAGGGGCGCTCACAGCAAGACACACAGTGCGAGGTTTGTTCGCAGCCGGCGTGACGGAAACCGAGGCTTGGGAACGCCCGGCGCTTGGGCCAAGCCATGCAGATGGTGGAGGACCCCTTGCGTGCTCGACCCACGTGTGAGCTTGGTCGATAGGGAGGCAGCCCGCACGTGGTATCGCTTCCGGGGAACAACTTGCTTCCTACTTTCCAGCTTTGTCACTGTCGTGGTTTTTTTATCCCTTCCTCTCTGAATTCTTAGCCAACGCCCCAAGGGGTTGGGCAGTGCCAGAGCAACAACCACTTTTTCGCAGGTGTTTTCCGAGACCTTCGGAAACAAACCATCCTTCCCCAAAAGCACAACCTCCAAAACACCTTGAGGCTGACCACCCAAATAGGCAGGGGGGGTGGGGGGGTTCATCATCTATCGCAAGTGGACACCCATCTTGCAGGATCTGAGCACACAGAACGGCCTGAAGCCCAACATCCAGGTCTACACCTGCCTGATCCACGCCTGCTTCCAGAACAGGCCGGGCCAAACCCGGACGTCAATCGCTCTGCTGTTGTTGTTTGCTTGCCGTTTTGCTTCATTTGCTTTGTTTGGTGTTCTAGGAGCAAGCAAGCAACCAGGCCCCACAACCCGTATGAGACGACTCGGAGATCTTAGTGGTTCCGATGCGTGGCCTGTCTTGATTGGCCCCTGCATGACTGTTTGGCTGAAGGTCCTACCAACACATGGTCTACACGAGACTGAAGTTGACTCTAGGCATTTTGCTTTGGTGTATGTTGAAGCTGTTCAATTTAGGGTGGTCAGACTTTGATGCCTTCTAGGCAACCCGTGTGCTGCTGGACCACTTCTTTCGGATGGAGTACATCGCATCTTTTATATATTGCGGGCATTCTGTTTTTGCAACCAGTTGGCCTTTGGCGTTGACTGTTGTGAATCGCCACGGGCAGGAGGGTTTCCCGTATTCGTCATGCACCATGGAGGCTTTTGTATTCCATCAACCTAGGTGGGCCATTTTGCAGTTTTCCCTTGATTGTACACACCGTTTGAAGAGCTGGCTGGCTCGTGGACACCCACATCTACATGTTCGATTATTTAATTATCTTCTTATATCAAGCCAAGAAAAAAGAGCACTGTGTGCGGTGCTTGTTGGGCGGAAAGGATGGTGAATACGAAGGCCAACTGCCCAGCAGTGATTGCTCACTCAGACAGTTCGCCGAAAGTTTTCATTTGTGTCCGATCGATCTGATTTCCTATAGGCGCTTTGAGCGGGCGCTGGGCGTGTACGAGACGATGATCAAAGAAGGCCTGGGCAAGGGCAGGGTTGCCTGTTGCCGACCATTTTGTTCCTTTTCTGCCAACCGCAATCTGTCGCTGGATGGTTACGAGGAATGACGGTTGCAGTCTCTCTCTCGCGAGCACCGTGTCAAAGTTGACTCAGCTCTATGCACACCAAATTCAAAGTGACCCGCCAGCAAAAACCGGCCCCATGCAGGCGGCTGCACATGCCTCATGGGCCGCATACTGGCGTGTCTGCTCAACAAAAGAGGCATCAGCTGGTAAGTGAGAGTCTTCCTCACATGCCCCGCTGACACAAATGCAGAAAAGGGCCCGGTTCAGTCGGCAGTGTTTCCTGCCTCCGCCAAGGGGCCTGAGAGCTTGGACAAACCTTGCTCAGCAAGCGCATCCATCCATTCAGCTCTGGAGGGGGGCAAAGGGCCACAAAGCCGCTGCCAAGGAAGCCGAAGTGGCCGATCATGAGGAGGCCGATCAACCTTGCCCGCCTCCCAAACCTCAGCGTCAGTCAAGGGCGCCATAGTCCCCACAAGCTTCTCGTAGCAGGTCTCCGCGTGGTAGATCAAATGCTGCCTCAGCCGATTCCGGTCATGGAAGTTGCGGAGGCAGGCCACACGCCATTTGCAAACATGTAGCGTCTGAGCGAGGAAAAGGCTCCGTGCTTGCGGCTGGCATGCAAGTTGACTTGCCAGCGCGTCACAGCTTTGAAGTCACACTGCTCACACTTAAACCAACGAACTTGGCCTTCACGTTGCCCATCTCCTCCGTCAGGGCACCCAACAAGTAGTCCCGCTTTGACCAAGTCCTCCTCGTGGCCGATTTCCCGCTGGCGAAGTTCCTCTTCTAAGGTCTCCTGCCAGACCGCCTTAACCGCATACTTCCGGATGAAGCCATACCAGCGCCCCTTACTGAACTTGATATAATTGAACCAAGACTGAAGGTCGCAAGACGGCTCTGGCAGCGCCTGGAACTGGTCCCCGAAGAAAGCACGTAAGTGGCGCAGGTCATCACGCAGAAGCGCCCACCAGCCATCTCCACGCAGCTCATCCTCTGCCGTGAGCAGCTGCATCAGGATGGTGGGAGCGTGCACCAGGACCCGGTAAACATAGCGCAGCCGGGCTTGCCGTAGCAGCACTTCAGTTGAGGGCTGCTGCAGCTCTTTTCTCACATGCGCATTGGTGTAGTGCGGCGAATGCTCGTGGTGCTGCCAACCAAGCAGGCCCCGGTAGCAGCGCATCACGAAGCTGTCAAGCCGCCTGTACTCCGATTTTTTCAACGAGGCCAGGTCTCGCACTTGTGCAACAACTTGGAAAATACCAGTGATCGCATCAATCGGACTCTCGTAGTTCTGCACAAGGCCTGGTTGCCAAACAGCTTCTTTGCACCGACACCCCAAGCACTCGAAGCTTGCCCAATGCGGTGGCCTAATTCAGCATGCATCTTGTTGGCAGCATGCTGAAAGCTACCCAGGTGCCGATAACGCGACACCACATGGACAGGCTGAACTTGTTCCTCCGCTACTTTGATCTCCATCACGTCCTCCCGCTTGAAGTGCAACCGCCTCCGTTGCTGGACTGCGCCGGCTCCAGCAAAATTGACAAGCACTTCGGTTTTGCCACGTTTGTAATTCACACGGAGGCCTTTCTCACGCATCCTTCGATCCAGGGCAGCCAACACTGCCTCCGTTCGTCTCATTAACTCCTGCGGCTCTTTGTGCTCCAGCATCACGGCCAGGTCGTCCATCCAAATGATCGGTGGCAACCCAATTCGACCAGCATCCTGAGTCAAAATCAGGTGTCCAACCTCACCCATGGTGGCCTCGATGGCTTGGCCTATCACCGCTCCAAAGGCAAGGTCAGCAATTGGGGTGCCAGGTCGAGTGCCCCGTCTGCTCCTCACCACTTGATCTCCTTCAGGACCAAGAGAGCCCTTGCCCGGCACAAAAAACCAGGTGTTGCGCAGCGACTGCTGCGCCAGGGTGCGCAACTCCAAGGGGACTTCGTATGCATCCAAGGCTGAGGCAGCCCCAATTTCGCTCAACACGCAGTCCTCGTCCTGCTCTTCCAGATCTAGAGGATTGCCACTGAAAGAAGCATGCCTGACGCTGTAGAAAGCACTAGCAAGGTCCAGAAAACCACAGCGAATGAGCTCTTCCTCCAAATAGCGGCCGACATCGCTGTCCGCAAAGCATGTGATCCAAAGTCCACGCCCATGAACGGCATGCCTCCAATATGCAGGCTCCACAGCTTTGGCTGAATCTGCAACCTGAGGCGCTCCCGGAGAACCGACTGGAAGATTCGGGTTAACGTAGACGTGATGCAGATGCTTCTGTAATTGGCGATAACTTGTCTCGAGCCCTGCCCCTTGTAAAGAGGCGACACACGCCCACCTTTCATGACCCACGGCTCCGCTTTCCACACCCAGAACTTCAGAAAGAGCGGCCAAATTGCTCGAGCAAAAGCACTGCAGGAAGACCGCGCAAGCTCGGGAGGCAGTCGACACAGGTCATAGGCCTTGCCAGCTTTGAGCTTTCTGACCGCATCCTCGAGTTCAAAGAGGGTCGGCATGTTGTCCAGCTCAACCGCCTGTCCTGCAACCATCAACTGCGCCCAGTCTCCGACCTCTGCGACTTCCTTCCGGAGTACATGTACTGGGATGGCTTCTCCGTCTTCAATGCTGGCAAACTGGTCCTGAGCTTCGTCGGCTACACAGGCATAAGCGGCTGCACCGGCTGTCTTCTTCAGAGCGGGAACAACCTTTCTCACAGCCTTCCAGGCAGCGTGGCTATCAGCGGACTCGATGGCACCACAATGCTCTGCAGCCTGCCTGTCTAGCTCTCTTTTGCGGGCGTCTGCTAAGAGACGCTTGACAAAGACCGTGCGTAGCCTTTGTGCATGTTCGAGCTTCGCAATCTCGCTCTGACACCTCCTGACCCAAGAGCGGTCCTTGATTGACTCTCGCACCGACCATCTTGCCATCCTAGAAAAACAGCTCGCAGAAGACCAGAGCGGAGATGCTTCGTCACATTGCGGAGCCTTCTACGGGACTGCTTCTGCAAGCCAAGCTGTTGCCACACTTCATTGGGCAGCCAAGTCGGCCGAGGCTTCTCCTTTTTCACACGAAAAAGTGGCTCGAGCTTCCATGCAACTTTGGACGAAGCCGCACTTACTTGGTCAGTAATATCGGCCAGCAAACCTGAAAAATTGGGCTGTCGCAGGCGCTGTCGATCCAGCGGTACAACGAAAGGCTGTTTGCGAGCGCCTCTGCCACTCAAACGCAAAGTGAAGTGTAAATGCAAGACAGACGGCCGATGATCATGATGCGTCTGCAGCATATCGAAGTCAACATCCATGAACGCATACGTGGCCGCATTGACCATATGCGATGAAACCGCAAGATAGTCGATGCGCCTCCACTCCCCAAAGCAAAACCAGGTGCCAGATGGCGCACCAGGACAAACTTGAAAGTCACCAAAGGTACTTGGAATAACCAAACCATGCTTAGTGGCAAAGGAGTGGAGAAACTGGCCATTACCGTTCTGCTCATCTGCTGCGTAGTCACCCACAGCTGCTGACCCAACACTGCCCAGCCTCGCATTTGCATCACTACAAAAAATGATGCTAAAGCCAGCGCAACTCAGCGGCTGCAGCACACGCGACACATCTGCCCAAAACTGCTCCTTCTCGCAAGCCGGTCGGCACTCATGGGGGGCATATGCAACCACAAACACGAATCTGATATCTCGCTCCACGTACCGCACAACCAATAGTCGGGAGTTGGCCACAACAATGGTGGCAGCAGACGGCTGAAAGTAAACTAACTCTCCCTGCCGAGTGCCCCAAGGGATAGCACGATGGAACCAAAGCTCAACTCCCGCACACCCCTTGCTGCCAGCAGCGCAACAAATGTAGTAGCAACCAGCAGTGTAAGCTCCTTCAAAGGACCTCCTAGTTTCTTGCAGCCCAACCACTGCCCACTGCCGGCTTTCGCATTGCGCCTGAAGCGCACGAGCTCGCCCTACTGCATCATGAAGGTGGCGATCTTCATGGAAAGTTTGCACATTGATGGTGGCAACCGTGAGGTTGAGCTCGCATGTCAACTCCGTGGCATTCCCGAGGTCCGCGCCGGCCTTGTCGATCTCATCTCCAACCTCCGGCTGAAGGATAGGCTCAAAAATGATCTGATCGCCTGCGATCCGAGGAAGGTCAACATTGTGCGGATTGAAAACCGGCATCATCCATAGCCACGGCAAAGCCTCACAAAAAACAGCCAACTGTGGACCAACACAACCGACATTGGATGCTTTTGTGTGCACAGCAAACCAGGCCAGTCGATCAGCAAGCTCGTTCCAAACCAGGCCGCTGTGTCCTTTGGCCCAAAGATACTGCACCACGCAAGCTGTCTCGACTGCTTTCCACAGATGGCGCGCCCACCGGTGTTGAACTTGTACACGGGCCCAGTTCCAATCGCCCGATGTACCAAACAAGCCCGCAGCAAAGTCGGAAATCCAGTGTATCTTCGTTTTGCTCCGGTTGATTGGCGCATGCAGAGCCCACTGTGCTGCCCAGCACACTGCCTCCAGCTCTGCCGCACCTGAGGTTTCAGCTGTAGCTCCCTTCCACATTGGGTGTTGCACATCCGTTATGACTGGTCCAAATAGGCAGTCCAAAATGCCGTAGGCCCCAAGGTCCTTGCACCAACCGACAACAATGACCCCATATCCGCCCACCAGCCGCCACTCATCTTGATGCCAGATAGCGGAGCCGTCTGTGAAAATCCACACATCATCACAAACTTCCAGACTGAGACAGGAGGCAGCAGCAACTGCTCGGACACAATCAGCTGAAAGCTCAATGTCCCCCAGTACTCGAGTAACTGCCTCTTTCTCCCAATTGCAAGTCAGGGAGGCCGCTAGTCGTTCGACGCCGGGCACATCCAAAACACGGCTCTCCACAAAAGTGCGCTCGTCCGGGTCATTGCTATTCCTTTCTCGCAAAAGGCGCTCCTCGGATGCCCCCGCAGGCGCATCACCTCCGCCAGCAACTTCTACGTGGGGCCACGTGAGCGCTGTATAAATGCCGCCTTGTTTATATAGCGTTCTTCCTGCTCCCTCCGGCAGTTGAAACGCAGTGCCCAAACACGCTGCCAGCTTCTTGACTGGGCCTGCGCCACCGATCAGATCCACCTCCCGGAGCCCACATGGCTCAGTATCCCGGTCCTTGGGTTAGCATTCGGGCTGTCCGCCTTATTGCGTCCAGCCCAATTTTCATACCCCACTACTTCAGCTGCTAGGCCTGGGCGCTGCAGATCTTGGCATGGAATGCAGGCGCCGGCCTCAACTTCTCCCACAAGGACTTGCCCGTCCTCGAGAAGCTTATAGGGCTCAACGGTCTGCTGCGTAGTCCATGCCAGCGATTGGGATAAACAAAGGGAAACCCCCTCATTTACTTCGAGCTTGTTTTCCCCAAAAGCCCCAAAGCAAGCACTCTTATGGCGTGGCCCTTTGCCCAAGTGCATGCTGTTGTCCTGCCTTTGAAGGTTCGGATCTTGTTGGGCTCTGCATTCAGGGTCATCAGCCCCTTGTTCGTTTTTGTTGTCAACTTCAACACAGTCAACCAAGATCTCATTAATCTGTACACTGAAACTGTTAGCAAGGGCATGCACATCCATTTCAGCCTCGGGAATCGACTGCACAGACGAAGCATAGGACTTGGGAAGATGCATACTCAACGGCCATCGCCAAACTGTACCCCCGGGCTCGACGACTTGAACCGTAGGAGCGAAATGCACTTTAGACTCACTACCGCTACCCCCAAGCCGGTTTTGACTCACAGCGCATCGTCTTGCTCCTTGGCCTTCTCGTCGCTTTCCTTCCTGGGCTTGAGGTGCGTCGGCTGAACCTTCCTTGGCGCAAAGGCTCTTGGTGGTTTCCTTGCACCTGGAGAAGTCTTCGCCGGCTTGGTGTCCTGCACCAACTCCTCGTCTTCGTCCATCGGGGCCTCGTCCTTGGAATCCGGAACTTCCACCGGGTTCGGATGTGGCATGGAGGCAAAGAAGTTCTCGAGTTGCAAGTCGCTCACTTGGCTGATTGCTTCCGTCTCCGAACCTTCCTCCGCAAGCTGTTCCGAGAGTTGGCGTAACTGCGTACGCGCTGCATCTCGCTTCTCCCTTGCCTGCGCGAGCTCCTCCACCATCTGGACCCTCTTTTCCAGAAAGCACCGCTTCTGCTCTCCAAACCGCTCTTGCAGCTGTTCCACAAAGCTGCTCCAAGCACGCTCCATCTCCCCAATGCCCTCCTTGAGCATCTGCACCTTCTTCTCGGCCTTCTTGTAGACCTGCAAGTGCTTGTGCGCATCGAGGGGCTCGTACTTGTCGATCTGTTGCTCCTTGCCCAATGCCCGGATTGCATCCTTGATCACCGCCTCGTCCACTCCTGCCTTCCTCAAGCAGTCGGCCACCTGCACCACCCTCTGCTCCGGCATCGGAGGTGGAGGTAGGACAGGCGGTGGTGGCGGTAGATCTCCCTCTGGCCCATCTCCAACTCGCATAGCAACCCTGGACTGGGGCGTAGTCGACATTCAAGGGGTCGTAGACGCACTGCCTGTTGCATCCTTGGCTGCACCCTTGGCCTGGGGGCGGAAAGGCCAGAAGGGACCGTCCTCCTGCCCTTGCTTGCCCTCTTTCTGCTTGCGTCTTCGCGATACCGATCTGGACTTCTTTTTTGGCTTCTTGGTCTTCCATGCATCCTTCCAATGATTGCCGCATCCACCACAGTAGTTCCTGTTGTTGGCATTGTAGCCACCGCAGCGACACTGCCAAGCTGTCATGGCTGGCAGAGTGGTACCGTGGTGCCCTTGCAACACTTCTACCACTCTTTGATGCCGGTCCGCACTGACGGACGTACCCTCCGTCCTTCAAGGCACGAAGGGTGTTCCTCGCTCTGGAGCGAGATCGCCTCTGTCGGCGGTGCCAAGGAGGTGATCGAATCAGGATAGCCACTGTAGAGGAAAAAGACGAGAAAGACGAGGCAAAACCGCCGCAACGCCCCAAACATGCAGGAGCGCACGGCTGGGGCTTCTAAACTACGTGGGGCCCCCCTGGCGGGGAAACCACACGTTAGAGCCCTCGGTTGCAGTCAGTCAAAACAAACTTCCTACAAAGCCTCCTCCCCAACCACTGCAAGACTTCCAACAAATGGGGCGTCCAAGAAATAGAGGACCCCCTGTTTGGCTCCAGGGTGTTGCAAACAGTGGCTCCCCATCCTCCAAGCGTTCCCCCAACAGGGCCGGATCGCGATTCGCTGATTCGCGCAGGCTGCCACGCGGACGAGAAGTTCTACGCGGTGCTGGTCCGCGGTTGCCTCCAGCTGCACCAGCCCCTCAAGGCGGGCAAGTGAGCGGCCGAGTCGGTTTCACGTTGCGTCGGGCTTTGCCTCACGCCCCTTTTCCTCGAGAGTTTGCCCGGCAAAGCTGAGCCCTGGGCTTGCAGGCGATTGAGGTTGTCAAGGCGGCGTACAAGTTGGACAGCAGCCTTCCGCACGGCCCGCGCGTCGTCGGGGTGGAAGGCCAGGTGTTTGTCGCTGGAGAGAAGCCTCATGCTGTTGTCGGTGCCTTTTGGGTGGTTTCGATTATCAACCCACTTGGGGCCAATGCTAGGTGAGATTCTGCTGGGTGGTGCGTCAGCAATTGAAGGGAATTTAAGGGGAACCACCCATTTTGAGATAATCGCTTTTTGGGGAGCTTTGGCACGTTAGCAGTTTTTTTTTCAGGGAAGGCTGTTGATTGTGCGTACACAGAGGCTGTGCCACTCGTTGAATGCGATGACACTTTGCATAGTTTTTATTCTTTTCCTGCTAGGAGGCTTCGAATCAAATATTATCCCCAAATGGCAGCTGAGATCAAAAAGCCCTGGTGGGCGAGTGTGGATTTCCCGAGCCTCTTGCTTAGTCGTTTTCTTTCGGAGGCCCCCAAGCATCAATGGTGTGGTCGCCAATCACCCAGTAGACAGCGGCTTGTGACTGTGTGGCTTGGTGCCAGGCTTGGATGACCTGCTGAACAAGATCGCCAAAGAAGAGCAGGACTGACATGGCTTCCGTTTCCTTGGGATCACAAGGCGAATTCGGCACAGTGTGCCCCCGCCTGGCACCATGGGCATTGTCAAGCCACGAACAGTGCCGCATTGGGGTCAGGCATGGTGTGCTGTGAAACTCCTCCCGACCACCTTCTCCACTGAGATCAGAAGGGACTGCTCAGGGACCAAGCGCATGAAGTAATGAAATGATCAGACCAAGGATATCCCATACCACAAAGAACTTGCACATGATTCTATCAAATCTGAGCGTTGGAAAAGCGTTCGACCGCGATTTCACTGGCAGCCCCACGAGGACGCCGCGGAGGCTCTGCGCTCCGAGCTGCAGAAGCGCGGGCTGCAGAACCGGTCGGGTTGGTACAACAGCGCCCTGGCGGAGTGGAAGGCGGACGCGACAAGGAGAGGTCAGTGGTTGTTTCCTCACTGCTGAGCGCTGGATCTTTTGGGGCAAGGGACATTTTTGCTTGTGGCTGGGATGGAAACACAGGATCCAAAAGTGTGCGGCAGATTGGGTTTCTGTTCCTGCTCTCCCCCTATCCCACAACCTGCACCCTGAGAGTCAGGTCACTCGCTGTCCGCGGGTGTGGATTGCCTTTCGTATATGTTGCAAGCTTCATTTATTATTGGACTCAAGCGCCCAAAAGAATTACTAAGTTGTGAAACATCCATATCCCATCTACTTTACTGCTGCGTTCCTGAAGTCCAGGTAGTAGGCCTTCATCATGGTGAGATGCACTAAGGTTTCCCGATGCACTAAGGTTTTCCCGTACTCAAAAGTGAGTCACCCAGAGGAATGTCAGGGACCTCAAGGAAGCTGCTTGCCTTCCTCGCGCAGGAGCCACCCCAAATGACCACTTGAACGCAAGCCGTTGGCTGCTCCAAGAAAAAATATTGACGCCACAAGGTGCTCGCGTGACAGCGGGCCCAAGCCGTGAACGTCGCAGAGGTCGCAACGACTGAGCGCTTTGGAGGGCAAATGGAGCTGCCTTGCGAGGAGGAACTCTGGAAGTTAAGCATTAAAATGCAAATGATGCCAACTGGTTAAGATTATTCATTCTCTGTACCTTAGAAGGCTTTTGGCAGAGACGGGGAGTTTTTGCCTTCGAAAGATGTTCCGTGTTCAGAAATAGTAATACGAATCAAGATGGAATGTTGCGTTGGGCTAGCGTGATTCTCTGTCGGGTCAACAGAGATGACTGTGACGAAAGGACATGATTAGGCTCCAATTTCAGAATGAAGCTCTGACTTTCAGGACGTTGCCGTGGGTCGCAAGTGCTAGCCGAGCTGGCTTGTCAAACCTTGACCGTAGCAAGACCGGATAGCTTACTTTTCATGTTTTTGCAGTGGCAACCCTTGGGACAAAGGGAAACTAGTATTGGCACGCCCTGGCAAAAGTATGGGCAATGAAAGTGTGCCACTGTGCGCATGTGTGCATTTTGTCACCCGCTGGTCGGGGATTTCAAGCCCAAGAGTAGCGTTCAACCGAGAGGTAAAAAACATGGCCGGTTCAACATTGGTAGCGAGAGCAGAAGGTTCAGGTCATCACAAAGGAGCCGGAGGTCCTGGCCGCGCTCCGCGGCAAGGAGGTGAACGGAACTAAACAAATAAGCTGATGACGAAAGTTGAAGCTTCAGCGCGTGCCGGGGACGAAGTCAGAGCCGGAGAGGTGGAGTTGGACGCAAGCCGCTTGCTGAGGCGGACTGGAACTCCGAGCAGGGTTCGTGGACGGAGTCGGCACGGGGCCAATGGCGCGGTCGGGGGCGTGGGATGAGAACGTGGCGGACGTGGTGCAGACGACTGCATTCAAGGGGAGGCGCCGCGGACTCCAAGCAGATGGTTTAACTTTCACTTTCTCTCAGATCTGGGAGCCCAGGGAGAGGAGGGTAAAATGCGCAAGTGTGCTTGTGCATTTTGTGACCCCTTGCCATTGGCCTGAGACTTGTGGATTCAACATTGGTAGCGGGAGCAGAAGGTTCAGGTCATCACAAAGGAGCCGGAGGTCCTGGCCGCGCTGCGCGGCAAGGAAGTGAACGGAACTAAACAAAGAAGCTGATGACGAAAGTTGAAGCTTCAGCGCGAAGTCAGATAAGTTGCATGCTGAGGCGGACTGGAACTCCGAGCAGAGTAGGGGAGACACCGCAGACTCCAAGCAGACAGTTTTTCTTTCGCTTCCCTCAGATCTGGAAGATGCCGCGCTGAGAGAGGAGGGAAGTAGACCAGTGAAAGTGGCGCATGTGTGCATTTTGTCACCTGTTGCCGTTGAGCAGCGCTCAACCGAGAGGTGAAACATGCCTGGCGCATTGGCACGGAGGGCGTGAGACTTGTGGATTCAACAGGCAATAGTCATTTATTTTTCGTTGCAAAAGCTATCATCAGTACTATAAAGAGATTAGGTCGGGTGTTCTGGTGGTACCAGACACGGGGGATTCTTTGGTTTGTCTTTGGCATAGTGCTGGCTGGCAGTTGCGGATATCTTTATTCGGGGGGTTACTCATGAGGTGTCAGCATGTTTTAGGAAGCTTTGGGTCGCGTTCGTCAAGGCTTGTGGATAGGCATGTGCAAAAGGGGGTCGTTTCCAAAAAGGGGTTCCATGTCAACCTGCAAGGGTGTACAGCTGGTTACACAGAGAACACACCGAAGGGCCATGGGTTCATTTCGCCAGCAAGTCGCGGTTTCCTTAGCCCCCCCTATTCAGTTGATGTGGAAGGGAAGGGTGCAATATGGTGCAATGAGACCATGGGAAGTTTACCTGGCTCCTAGTCTGGGGGTGCGTCAGCGGCCTCGCAATTCGCTGTGGTTGGCAGTACTTATTGTCCAACAACGCCCTTGATCCTGTGCTGGGCCATTCATTCGTAAACTGAGGGAAGACTGCAAGCTGTTGGAGATTCTGTGGCACACGTGCCTTCGCAGCTGAGGAACTGGCGATCTGCCGTCCACACGAGTTCCATATCTCTCGGCCGCCTCTTTGAATCGTGGAACTTGACAATGGAGCTGTGAATCCAGGTCCCCATGATTCAGATTGCGCGGCCGGGCACTGCATACTACAGGAATTCCACTCTTCGGAGTTTTGGTATTGACACCCTGGCCCGCGCCAATAAGAGCGATGTGAGCCGCGAGAAAAAAACACAAAGCGGGAGGTTGACCTCGAAGGTTCATCAAGTGATGCTCCGGCTGGGCCCGAAGTTATGCCTCTCTGTTTGGTGGTTTGACATATCACCTTCGGGCTTCCGATCAAAAAGAACAATTTGTTCCTGTCGGGTCCCTCTGGCAAGGCCATTGATTTCTCAGACCCCCCTGCCGGAATTCATTTCATCCATGAGGCTCCCCAGGTGCTTCCAGCGCCCTGCAAATGAACATGGAACCTGCAAAGGCTGTCTTTTCCCAAAGAAAATTCTTGATTTGTAGAGTATGATTTTGCCACTAAGATCTTGGCGGATGGCGGATCGCCTTAGAAAGTAAGAACAAGCAGAAGGCCAACGGTGACTGCTTCAAACAATAATAGCGAGCCTAGATACGTTGGCATGTTAACATATGTTGTATTATATCAGAACGCACTTGAGGCAAATACATTTCGAGTTTCGAGTCCTGAGTTTCGAGTTTGGAGTCTTTCGAGTTTTGAGTGAGTTTCGATTTATGAGTCCCGAGTTTCGAGTTGCGAGTCTCGAGAGTGACCGGCAGGCCGACAGCCCATTGTCAAGTTCGATCTCATCTTTTAGTTTTGTTATCATTGATATATTGGTGTACTTGACTGGTCTTGCTTTTCAGTTAGATCTTGTTGACGTATTTTAGTATTTTTGTTCTGTTCTCCTCTTGGTTTGCTGTCCAAACTCGCCCGACACGGGTGGGTGGGATGCCCAGGATGGGAACCTTTAACAACTGGGTCCTCCACAAACAAGCGCTGATGCCCCCATCAGAGGCACCCACCTCGTCAATCTTGGCACCGAACTCGGCACCCACGAAGCCGCCACGAAATTGGGGTCGTCCACGCTAGGTGGGAACTGGACGCTGCTCTACACCGATGCTCCAGCAGCTGGGCCGCATACCAAGCGCCTTCGAAGTGGAAGGTGTAGCCTGACGTGGTATCTGGGGCAGATGCAGCGCGGCGTCGAACTATCCGAATTCACCCAGTGGTTTGACTGGGCCGGGTAGTGGCAAGCCAGGAGCAACAAACCCCGGTAGATCAACAGTGTCCCAATCGGGAACATTGATTGTTCGAAGTGCCAAGGACATCCTGAACATCCCCACGTCGCCTTTGGCCTCTCTAGGGACCGGAAGTTTGGAAAGAGAGCGCGGGGCTGGGCGTGTTTGTACTCCAATGTGAAAGGAGAGATTCCTCTAACAGCAACACCAGCAAGAATGTTCAGAAGATCATGTTGCTGAGGTCTTGACAACGTGGCCATGCTGTTTACAGTGTACCTGCATTTTCCTGAAGGTCAGAATGGTGGCAAAACCAGGTCCTGGACCTTGAGTAAAACAAACCAAGGCCAGGATTTGGGCGGCAGCTCTTCGTGTCATGGCGCGTGCCATGCATCTTGCACCTCTTCTCGGGTTGTTTGAGCTGTCTTTATCAGGGATGGCAATCGTTTGAGGACCGAACTGGTCGACTCAATCAAAGCAACCTGGCCGATAGATGAGTTTGCTTTAAGTCTTTTCCCCTACATAGCCGGCTATTAAATCACCAGGGAATAGTTTATCCGGGCGGATCATGCTTGCTCTTGGTTTGACCGAGATTGCCTCGCAACCTTTTGGAAAACGACACCGTCGCAACGAATGGAACCTGGAGGTCCTGGATACTCTCCTCCAAAATAGTTGATTTGGGCTCCATGGCAGCATGGGAAGGTCAACTAAAGTTGAGGGCCCCTTGGAAAACCAGTATGTACTTCCCAGACGTGTTTTTTGTGTGTCTGAATTCTGGGAATCGGGAAGCTACCCATCTCAGCTGACAACATCTTTGGTTTTGAGCCCAACAGTCTCATCTGTTGCATTAGTCCATGGGAGTCCGCATCAGATCCGCAGGAGGATCGGCCAGGAGATCAATGCTGAGAAAGGCCAGTGCACGCCTGTTGGGTGTGAAGGGATTGCAGACATTGAAAGCAAGTTTCAGGGCCGCTTTTTGTGAGTCCAATAATACCGTTGCAAGTGACAAAGTAGTCAAGAGATAGCCTATCTCAAAAAGGGCTGAAACCTGTTGATCAACCCCCCCACCCCAATGTGTCTTCTGCCAAGAATGGAAAGACAAGGAACCACCCACCTGCCTCATTCTCCCCAGTCCTCTCCGCTGTTGCGCTTGGACTGGCTTGCACTGCCCTTGGGGTGGCCATCTAGATCTTTGCTTGAGTGGCGGTTTGGGGGACGGAAGGCCCTTTGAGAGTCAGGTGTGACCTCCATCGAAAGACGTTCCATGACGATATCTCCTCTCCAAACTCTTGGCTATAGGTTTAGGTACAGACGGGATGTCTCATCCCTTTCCTTCCTTGATGTTTTTTCAAAACCGCTTTTGGAGGCGTGTGCGTGAAATCCAAAAGCAAAAGCAGGCGTCATTGCCAACGTCATCGAGTACCGGCCCTCCCCGCTGGCGGTGGGGCTCAAGGCCTCTGCTCTGGAGCCCGGTTTCCCAGTTTTGCTGGGAAGATCCGTTGGATCTGGGAAACATCCGTTGGACCCACGAATGGGTCCGGGGGAAGTCCGGGAAGACCCACGAGGGATGATCACGGGGTTCAGCGTAGCAGTTTCACAGTTTCTCGTTACACAGCAGAAAGCTATGTATATATATATATACATATATACACATATATATATATACAAGGGAGTCTAGGTGCGGTCAAGTTAGTTGACGTTCAACGTGAACGTTTTGAGTCCAACTCTGGTCTGCTCCCTCGGGGAGGGATGTTTACTTCGGAATGTGAATATGGCTCCGAATAGGTCAGCAAGCCAAGCAGCAGCGGCCAAACAAAGGCAGGTGAGAAGAAAGGGCTCCAACTGTGTCTTGAACACCTGAACAAAGTTTGCCATGGGGAAAGTTAACTGAGCGAAAAAGCTGAAAGTCAAGCAACAGGACGCCTTTTGAAGAAGAATTCGTCATGCTTCAGAATGCAACGCAGGCACCGACGCCGTTTGCTACTTGCTGTTTCCCTGCCGCAGGTTTGCACCGTTCAGTTTCGGAGTTTTGGTGGGGCATTTTCTGTATTTTCGCCGGATCCTTGGCGCCCTTCCGCTGGGGTTCTCCGAGGGACACCTTGGTGCAGCGTGTCTTCACGGAGTACAAGGTGACCTCCGGAAGCAAGGCACCGAATCGATGCCTGGGATGGCTGGAGTTTTGCCCTTGAAGAGAAACTAAATAAATGGAACAGGCCTCGAAGAGCCTCGACGCTGTGTTGGATGTTTTGGCTGGTGTCAAAGTGAGGATCCCAATCGATGTCGATTGGGGATGATTTCCGATAATATCCAATATTCGTTTTGGGTATTGGACCACATTCTGCCGAATTGTAGATTGCCATGCTGCTTAAGTTGGAGGGAGGCACGGGCCAGAAGTTGTCGTCAGCATTTTGCCTTCACAAACCTCCAAGACCCCATTCATGTCTTGGAGAAAAACAACATTTCGTGCATTTGTACAAGCCACGGTCCACTGTCAAACTGGACGGGGCCGCAGTCAACCGCCTCTCGTTTTCTGGGCGTAAGTCTGATCGGCTCGTTCGAGGTGGAACTCAACATCAAGGGCCTGGGGCTCGACCCACAGAGGCCTGCTATCCTGACTGTCCTTGGGGGAAGCAAACTGATATTTTTGGCGGTTCTCAAAACTACGTTTTGCGAACCTCCCTTTTAAGGTATTGAGGGTGTCAATTTGCGGTGCCCCCTTTAAGAAGTCGGGTGTATCTGAGCAATGTCACATGTCAGAGCCGCGGGAACCGTTGGGACACCTATCAGGGATTCAACTGAGAGGTTACAAGATCCATTGAGGAGTGTATATATATATATATACATATACAGTTGTTTCGGTCTACCCACTGCTTGGCTGCTCTTTGATTTGACCTTTAGCCTTTCAGAACATGACATTCGCTTCCCGTGTATATGGCAAGTGAAGTAGCTTTTTATGATTTGCAGCAATGCACGGCACCCACAAGATGACCAGCATCGGTTGGAGATATCGGAGGTTGAAGGCGGCAACTAATGCCATTTGAAATACGTGACCTAGCACGTCATAACATAACCTGACGTGAAATTGCATACCATATCAAGCCATGACATGGCGTCTCACACATGTAGCATGTCGTGGCATGGCAAACCATGAGACCCCGTGACATCCATGACACATACGACAGACATATATACATATCTGTACGTATATATAAATAAATATATATATATATAATCCAACCATACAATATATGATCGATATGTGATCATCTCATGCCGTATCTTGTCATATCATGTTATGTCAAATAATATCACATCATATCGTATCACATCATATCATATCATATATCATATCATATATCATATATCATATATCATATATCATATATCATATATCATATCATATCATATCATATCATATCAAACGATGACATGCCATGACATAGCATACCATGTCATGACATGAGTTTGGACAACACGACTCAGCAACGAATTGATATGCCTGTAGCATGGCATGGCGTGGCATGACACGACATGAACACACATTCAACGATAGACGACATACTTGTAGCAAGACATGGTGTTGAATGGCATGGCATGGCATGACGTAATGCAACATGCTTTGTAGCAATGCATGTATATAGCTGTGTGCGGCATCACAGTTTAGCATGACATGACATGACATAGCGTACTAGGCGAGCGCGGCAGTCGCTTGAGGGGTTCCATGCCGCCGGTTGTTTGAGAGCGTGTTTCCTTGCGATTTAGATATGTCCCCCAGCTTTTAAAGCATTGTTCGTTCTGTTCATTGAATTGTTGTTGGTCGGATTTCTCGGACGGTGTGGGAAAGACGAATATATGTTTCGGTGTGTGAATAGCTGCGAAGAACAATGCGCCATTCTCGCTTTTCTCCCAGCTGCTAACGCAAGGCGGGAGACACCCTGGTGCAGACCCACCGATAGCTGGGGCAGCAGCCCACATCACGGGACGCCGCAACAACACAGTTCCTTAGGGTTACGGCCCCACCTAAAAATCCGTTAATCCTTGCGGGGCTGTCAAGACGCCTCGCCGCCCTATCGGGAGGACTGGGCGTAGGTGACCTAGGGGCTTCCTCCTCCTCATCTTCAACAACCGGACCAGCAGCAGTACGAGGTGGCATAGGCTTCGTACCCGGAAGTGGATTCTGATGCTGGTATTTGCACTGCTGAGCAGTGCACTTTCCATACATCCAGCGTAGCAGTACCCGAAGTACATAGGCTTTTCCCTAACGGGCCTATCGCCAGACCTTGGAGTAGAGGGTGCAGCGGGATTCCTCGGACTCTTGTCGTGCTCAAACCTGCAGTCTCGACATGCTGACATTTCCCTGTTTTGGCATACTCCCAGCAGGATCGATCGGTAGGCCCGGCAGGCGACTGTCTCCGCGGCAACTTGGCAGACGGGGTATCCCTCTGACTGCCCCTCCCAGGAGACGCTCTGTCTCTCTGACTACTCCTCCCGGGTGATGACCTCGGCCGTCCCTCCTTCCCGGACCTAACGGACCTCGAAGGGCTTGGGTTGCTCTTCCTGGCAAGCGGATCATTCCTACGTACAACCCCAGGTGCTCCAGGATGTCGGTCCCGTTCACGAGAATGCGTGTTGGAACGTGACCTCTGCTCATGGAACGTCTGATACATTTGAAGCGTGTTCTGACGCTTCTGCCACCGTTCAACACAGTCCTGACAAGCCTTATAGAGCCACGCGAACGACCTAACGGTCACATCGCGATCCCACCTCTCGATGTCAGGTCGCATACAACGCAGGTGACGGACGTTCTCAATAAACACGCTAACAGCACCCCGTCATCGATCTTCCTCTTTATCCCATAGATAAGGTTATCCCAAGATAACTCCGAAGCCTGGCCTCATCATCAGAGTGACCTGTCTGTCGGCACTTTAGACTGGTCAGCTCAGCGATCTTGAAGATCTGATCATCTTCGACTCCACTCTGCAAGTATTTCAGCAGGAGCTTCAAGATCTGCCTTCCCTTGACGCCCTGAGGAGGAACCATGTTCTGAGCGTCTTGTCTCTAACGGCCCTCGTCTTGATGCAATCCCTGATAGCACTCGTAAAGTTGGAATCCAACACCGGAAACTTACAGCGCCCGCCCAGCTCATCAGTCTCGGTCTCGGAGATCCACGCTAACGCGTAGTCGGAGTCAAAGCTGAAAGCATTCCTGACCCTTTCCTTCACTTCGGAAATCCATTCCCGCAGCTTATTCGCTGTCGGTTCAGGAGGCAAGGTAATCGTGTTGCACTTGTGATGGTACCGATCCTTGCTATCAACAACAGTTGAGATTAACGCCCCTATCAGGTTACATGACGTGATTCTACAGCTTTCACACAGTCTAGCAGGCAGCGGGCAGCATGCGTCGCATGCCCTCATCCCACAGCCAACCAGGGAGGAGCCGAGCTCAGGGATCCTGCCACATTTGGTGCACTCATCATCTGTTTTCAAGGTTTGAGGAAGAAGACCGCCATCCCCGTGCCGCCCAGCTCCATGACCCTTGTAGCCCAGATCCCAGATTTCCACAACTGCTAATGCTCGATGGGTAACCTGCGGCCAAGTTGGGCTGGCTAACGCCAACACCAACACCTTGGTGGTTAACACAGAAGCTGGAACCGCACTGATTGTTCCCGAATCCCTGAGAATTGACAGCAGTCCCATTGAACAACGGCGCTCCCCCTTCAGGGTATCCCCCAGAAGGCATGCCGCCACCTCCAGCCAGCCCACTTGGCCCAGCGCGTTCTTGTACTCTGTCAGGAGGCCCAGGCCCAGGTGGATGTGGAGATGATCCATGACCGCCGCATCCGCCCCCACCGTGACCTGATGGTCCACCATGACCACCTCCTCCTCCGCGAGGGGAAGCTGCCCTCCATGTCTAGAGCGTTCATGTTCCGCATGACAGCGAGAACATCGTTCAAGGCAGTCATGCCCAAGAAACGTATGCTCATTGCAAATCTCCTTTTCACAATCATGACAGGAGTACATGGATACCTCCTGAGCGTTCTTCGACAAGCCCGGCACTTCGTCTTAACAATCCCCATCATCACCTTTACACAACCGGCAGAAACGACGCTCACAGGTGACGCAGGCAAAGCTCGCATTCGGGTGCCTTCTATCATTCGGGTTGTCCCGAGCACACACCCTTGAGAGATCAGGTCCGATGGGGTCCCTGGGTTCCTTCGGCTACTCGGGACGTCGGCACGGGTCCTGTCATTCTGGCCATCCCTAGGTCGACGGCTCGGATTTGGAGAGGCACCTCTGCTATCGCGGACCGGTCTCTCACCCCTTGATTGCCGGTCTCTCACCCCTCGATTGCCGATTCCTAACCTGGGCTCCCTATCATGGACCGCGGCAGCCCTCTCGCATTCCTGTTCCTACTTTCATCCCTATTCGGGGAGATCGAAGCATCAGCCCCGACACGCGCCTGTGGGCCGTCTCTAGTACGCCTCGAGTACGACCTGTCTTGCATCTGCAAAGCTCTCCTGCTTCGGCTATCCTCCCTCTCCCTAACGGGAGGGATAGGGTGCCTATTTGCACGAGAATCGGCATTACTAGGGACGCTTGGCGAAACAGACCTTCTGTTAACCTGAGGTTGATCACTCGCGCTAACTCTCCTGCTATCCTCGAAAACATGATCAGTTAGGCCTCCGCCTGGCCTGACCGATGAGCCAGAATTTTGAGAACCCCTATCTCCAGGTTAGGCGTCGGTGACCTGATCCTGTGCCCCTGCCCAGCAAAAGCGTCGTATCCGACGTTTGGCCTTCCTCGAGTTCCACGAGGATTCTGTTGAACAACCTGAATCATATCCGCTGCGTCGTCAACGTGTCCCTCGAGATCGGCAATTTGCCCCATAACTCGGGTATTCAACTCATTTAGGACGCGGTTGTTGTTCTCGACAGTCCCAATCCTTCGCAGGCACGCATCGACCATGTTGCGATAGTAGACAAGTTCCCGTCTAACGACGGCCTGTGTCTGCTCCGTGCTCGATGGAATATTAAGAAGCTGTGCTCTTATAGCTTGCACAGCTTGCTGAAGCCTCTGAGTGTTCTCATTGAACATGACGATCTGGGCGTTCGTGGTCCCAACATCCTCGACGACAGTATCATAATTCCAAGCTTGGCGATAGACTCTGCGAGTAAGATCCTGAACCTTCCAGTTAATCTCCTCGATTGCCGCGCGCCTGAGAGTCATCAAGGTCCCTAGCCCTATCGACCACCAGCGATCCCCTGTCACCCCGCGGACTTCAGTATTCGGTTAGCGAATGACCTGTACTCAGCCTGGAGCTCGTCAATGGCCCCAGTGGCCCACTCTGCATGTCGGTCGCTCTCACCTTGGAGTCTATCGACTCGTGGTCGGGTTCCTGATACTCTCATCAGTTCCGCTGCTAACAGCCCTATCGGGCCCCGACGCAGCTGGGGCTCCAGAAGATTGAAGCAGCCCAACTGTCTTTTCAACCTGAAAGAGTCGCTTCTCGAACTTCTCAATCTCGGTGTTGGTCTGGTCCTCGAAGGCACCTTGACTTCTAAACATAGCGCGATGCTTGTCCTGAATATCTTGATGGAGATGACTCACGCCACCTTCTACGTCCCTAACGGATTCCCGGACTTCAGTGGAAAGCGAGTTGATTCTTTGATCCGCAATTTCGCTCTGCTCATCAATCGCATGCCTAACGATTGCCCTGCTATCGGGAATGACCTCACCGGCAAACCGCTGAACTATCATTCGCATTCGATCAGCATCCGCTTGGGTCGCAACCTCGGAAGCTGGGCGGCTAACCCTGTCCTTCATCTGCTGATTCTCATCACGCCACTCCCGGCGCATGGAACTCACCTGACTGTTCAGTAACCTGATCTGGTCAGCAAAGGCATTGAGGGTGTTCACAACCGGACCAGATGCTTCGCCTCTCTCGAACATCTCCTGCGTGTGCAAATCAAACACTTCCTTGAATATGGACATCAGCGGGATCAAACATGTCCTCATCCTGCAGCGTGGAAGCTATTGGCTCTGGGCTAGCCCTCCTCGCCTTTGACCTATCGGTCTCTTCGGCTAGGGGCGATGGCCTCTTCGCAGAAGCACTGCGTTCCCTGCTGGCTGATCCCCACTGAGGAGTGAATTCATTACTCGACCTTAGTGGCTCGCTCCCGGATCCGTCTGGGAGGTCGACTAGGCATGGCCTCCAGGTCGTCCGTATGAGGGCGATCGCCATACTGATGAAGCCCGTGATTCGGAGCCGCCCCTATCGGGGCGAGCTCGTCCTTGCTCATCATCGGTGGCCTGACGAAAAATGCGGTCCTCTCCATTGTCAGTGTACCTGCCACGGCTTCGGGGTGTGTCCCTATCGGGATCATCACCCCTACGGTCCTGACCTGTCAAACCTGCTTCAAAGTCCTCGTAGTCGAAGTCCGGTAGGTGCTCACCTGAGCGGAGGCCACCTAGGATGGCCTCCTCATCCACGACGCTCCTACGAAATCGTGGGGGTGACGTCATTGAGCTTGCAGTTGATGGGACCCGCAAACTTGAGCCAAACACCACCGGTCAGTCACTATCGCGACTTCCCAGATGATGGTTTAAACTTGGGCACTGCAGGCGGAGGCCCCAAGTGGGAGCAGGTCATTTGGAGAAGGACTATTGATGCCAATGGGACTGTCATCAAAGATATCGGGGTGGATTCTGGTGATCGTCGATCAGTCCTATTCAGGGGGCTCCCCAGAAGGACCGACATCAAGACAGTATTTTGGTACTGTGACGAGCCGGAGGCTGTGTTGTCCTGGAGGGGCAAGTACTTTCAGAGTGGTCCCGATAGGGAACCTCTGAAGGTCAGGATCCCGGAGCTCCCTGAGCTCCCTGATGTGTTTGTTGTGTCCATTGAAAATGACAACACGGGTAGGATCGTTAGTCGCTGTAGGGAGGCTGGATACAACCATCCTACTGGGATAAAGTTCCCATCTCGCAAGAAGATCGCTAGGGAGGTTCAGAGTGCTCTGATAAGAGTCAAGTACTGCTGGACAACGATGATGACATAGACACGAACCCTAAAAATGTACGGGGACATCGTGTTGTCCGAAAGCCGAAACACACCCGGAAAGTTGCTGCACCTGTTGGGTACAGCGGGGTGAGATGGTTGGTTGATACTGGTTGCCCAATGGATCTGGTCGGTCTTGGTGATCTGAGAGGACCCGATAGGGCCCTGATGGCCAAGGGCGGACACACGCACGCATTGCATACTGCAAACGGGGCGACTCGTACTGCTGGTCGTGTTGATGCTGATGTTGGTAATCTGGACGAAGTGATTGAGGCACACGTCCTTGAGTCTACACCATCCATCATTTCAGTTGGAAAGCGCTGTATGGATATGGGCTACTCGTTTGCATGGAATGCAGGCTGTATGCCTATCCTTACGTGTCCATCGGGTCGTGCAGTGACATTGGGTCATAAACAATGTGCTGTACCTTCCCCATGGTGACACTCAGTTCGTTTCTCCTACTCTTGAAGACGGTGGGCCAATTCCCGCTATGCCAGCTCGTGGAGTCGAGGCTGATGAGGAACTAAGGTCCGAGCCCGTGTTGGCGAGCGAGAATAGCTCCCAGGACACCTGGAGAACTGAGCGATCAGGTCATATCGTGAAGGAGCACCGAATTCCACGCAGGCAAAGCTCATGCCAACTGATGTTGATTGCCCCGTTAGGGTCGATCAACTAAACAGTTACAGGAAGACGATGATTCACCGTAATGGGGTTACTCAGAAGGTGTTAATTGATGCTGTTGTCTGAAAGGGATCAGCGCGCGTTAGCATCTGATATTCCTTGGACAGGTGAGACATGGTTGCAGGTTGAATGCAAGTCCGTTGCTCTCCCTGGAGAAGCCGAGATGGCGATAGCTATCCACCGCGTATCCCTGGTCCTGGGGAAGGAGACGATGGTGACATCGTCGAGATAAACTTCCTCTCCGGGTTGCGCGCTGAAGCGGAATGGCGCGCAGACGCTAAGACGCTCCGCCACGTGCTCACGCATCTTCCAAAGAATCCATACTGTCCACACTGTCAGCGTGCGAAGATGGAAAACGTCAAACTTCGCCGCAAAGGTGGTGCTGCTGCGCACGACGTGGCAAACTTCGGGGACCTTGCCACTGCTGACACTATGGTGTTGAGGGGGCTGAAGGATCGAGGTTTTCACGGCGAGGCGGACGCGATAGTGTTCTATGACCTCGCTACCGACTACCTGGATGTCCTTCCCGTGCAAACCAGATCTCGTAGCAACACGCTGGAGGCATTTCGAAGGTTTGCAGGGGGGCAAACTCTGAAGTTGGTGTACAGCGATCAAGCACCGGAACTGAAGAATGCTGTGACCACACTTGGCGCTATGCACCGGCTCTCTACACCGGGCATGCCCAAGACCAACGGCTTGCTAGAGAACAAGGTCAAGCTAGTTCTCCACGGGGCACGTGTGCTTCTGCGTCAAGCCGGGTTTGAACCTCGATGGTGGCCATTCGCTGTTAGGCATTTCGCTATGGCAAGAAACATTGAGAATCGAGGCGATGGATCACCCTGGACGCGACGCCATGGTGACGGAAACTTCAGCGGAATCATTCTGCCGTTTGGCTGTCTGATCGACTTCTACCCCATTGCTCCCAAAGTTCGCAGGGATAGAAAGGGGGGGGGTTCAAAACGCCCAAAACGCCATCAGACACGCTAAGAAGGTTGACACTGAGGACGTCGATGAAGGAGGAGACCGCTGGATCGTGAATGAAGATGAGAAGGTCGTCACTCGAGTCCATGTTGAAGTGCGAACTAAGCTGTTTGTCCCGATAGGGGCAAACTGCCCGGTCAGGATCAAACATCTTGGCAGAAGACGAAGCACAGTCATCAACTATCTTGATGGATCAACTGACGACAACTGGCTCCAGGCTGAGCATGATCGCGGAGGCGATCACGAATGGACTGGAGAGACCCACTTTGACTGTGATTTCGATCAGATCGATGAGGATGAGGCTGAGATCTACGAGTGCGAGGAGTACGAGCCTGAGGGCGGCGACGAACCGGACTTTGTTCCTGCAGATGAGGTAGGGGTTGAAGAGACGAGTGTCACGACGGCCCTACCCGCCGAAAAGAAGGGACGGGACTTCGTCAAGATTGAAGAAGATCCGAAGTTCGTTCCATCATCCAAACCAGGCCTGTTCTTGGGTTATCGCCTAGAGCCAGGGGGGCTGTGGAAGGGCGATTATCTTGTTGCTGATCTCGAGCACATCCAAAGAGGCCTCAGGAAGCCAAGCATCCACCAGGTCAAACGCGTCTGGGAGAATCCTGAGGAGCCCTATGTGTTCCCAATGTTGGCGTCCTATGATGCTCGGACTGGGAGGCGTTAGCTGACCGAAGGGCTGATCTGAAGCTGAGCAGAAGAGTCAGAGATGAATTCGACTTCGATGAAGGTCGGTTTGATGACCCTGATGAAGACGATGATGATGACCAGCAGGACGAGGGGGGCGATAGCTCAACCAGGCTATCCGAGAAGGTGGTGACGCATGCGTCTCAGATTGCTGGGAGCGGCGCGACGAGGACAGTGCTTGGTGTCGCATCCACGTCAAAGTGCGGAAGAAGTTCTTCGGGGCGACGAATGAGGAGCTCGACACCGTTAGGGTCACTCACATGCGGGGACTTGATGCGTTGGAAATTGGGTGAGAGATGATCGCCGTTGTGACGCCCCTAACCATCGACATTTCACGCGTGGATTTTGGACAGGTGTGACTATCCTCTTTGACAGGGGATGCGCTCCCCACGGTAGGTTCAGGCCGAAGGAAGAAGAAACGAAGCCTGCCGGAAACTCAAAGAAGGGTCACAAACTGCACGGAGATAGAATCGACTACGACCAATCCGCCGATGGGCGTGAGCGGCCACACACCGGCGCCAAGCCGAACGGGAGGTATCCCTGAGGGAAGAACGGCGCTCGAGAACACTCTGAGAGGGACCCGGCTGTCTTAGCGCCGGGCCACAAGGTCCTCATTCGCTTGCGAGCCCGACTCGCGTCTGTCTGCTGTGATGATGGAGTGTGGCGGCGAAGCAGTTCGTGTTCACATAACGAGCCAAGGACGCCAGTCGGCTCATTGCGATCATCGAGGATATCCTGGGTGCGATCTCTGGGCGTCCATTCCGTGTGGACCGTGGAGTGCATGGCAGTATGTGAATCTTTCACTTAATGGTGCTGAATTTGCCTCACACCTGAATGATCTGAGAAGGAACTCCCAGGTCATGTTTGCCGCATTCCTGCGGGTCTCTCAAGCCGTTAGGCGAGGGGGCGGCAGGGTTGCATTTGAGTGGCCTAGACACTGTCTTGGGTGGAAGCAACCGTTCATGCAGAAGTTTCTGACCGTTGACTTTGACGGCTGTGATTTCGGAATGCAGGATAAGGACGGCGTGCCAATCAGGAAACAGTGGAAGGTTGCGACGACCTCCAAGGAGCTCATTGAGGAACTCTCGGGTCGAAAGTGCAAGCACGAGAAGGGATACCTTCACGCGCGCATTGAGGGGTCAGCGGCCCCGACGACTGCCCTCTATCCGAGTGCGATGTGTGAGGCTATCGTTGGAGCCTGGCACCCGAACGGCGCTTTCAAGAAGGTCGCGAGCGCTATGCCGGTCGAAGTTGATCCGGTTGAGCAGCGATGGAAGAAGAAGCCTAATACCTTGTACGTGAGTCTTGACAACGAGAATGCCAAGATTCCGATGCGGGCTACTTCGGGGAGTGCAGGTTTGGACACCTATGCCTCTGAGGGAGTATGTATTCCCGCAGGGGGGTCAGGTACAGTTAACACCGGGATCTCGATAGAGATGCGCGCGGGAGTGTATGCCAGGATCGTTCCCAGTTCAGGACAAGCTGTGAAGAACAGGATAGCTGTAGGCGGTGGGGTCATCGACCCTGACTATGATGGTGAAGTCAAGGTCATCCTCTTCAATCATGGGGATGAGGATTTCATTGTGAAGCCTGGGGACCGTAGCGCAGCTTGTGCTGGAACGCGTCATGCATCGATTGTTCCTAGGAAGGTCAGACGAAGAACCGATAGGGGATCTGCTGGCTTCGGAAGCACAGGTACTGCTGTTGCCGCTCCTTACGCTAGGATCTGATGGAAAGAGCTTTGAGTTCTCCATGCCTAGGGGGGAGATATCCCTCTGACATCGACCAAAGAACCCAGGTGTCTTCCCTCCCTTGTACGCTTGTGTCGCTAGACCCGTCAACAAGAAGGAACAGGCTGGAAATCCAAGGCGAGGGCTGCTCTACAGAAGGAGTGGGACAAGTTGACTTCGCTAGGATGCTGGGACCTGTCAACCGTCCAGGAGTGGTTCGATGTTGCGGCTAGGGCCCGAAAGGAAGGGGAGAAGATCCATGTTGGTAGGATTTTTGACATCTGCGTTGAAAAGAATCACGAGCTTCCCGAAGACGATCCGAATCGCAAGTACAAAGGGCGAGTCGTCTTTTTGAGGGATGCTTTGTCCGTCGGGCATTGGGCCTTGTTCTCTGAAAACACCTTCTGTCCCGCCACTATGGCAGCGGGAAAGATGGGTGATGCTCACGGGCTACTTCCCGGAAATCTTCTGGAGGTGAGTGACGGGGAATCTGCGTACACTCAGGCTCGCCTGAAGGGAAAGAAGACGTGGGTGAGGATTCCTCGTGACCAGTGGCCCCCTGAGTGAGGATCCAGTCGTCGTCCTCGTGCTCGCCTTGTCCGGACATCCTGACGCTGGTACCTTTTGGGAGCAGCACTGCGAGGCTCTGATCTCGAAGGTCATCAAGATGGAGGAACCAAGACAGCTCAAGAGATATCTTGGCTGTGAGCACAACTGGTCAAGGGTCATTTTGATCCGAGGCTGGCGTGGACGGTGGGCAATCCTCCTGATAAGGAACAGCCCGACTTGAGGTTCGGTCCGGAGGGGTTACTCTCTAAGGACATTCCCAAGCCGGAAACTACGATAAGGTTCATCAAGTACAGTGAAAGTAGCTTCATGCAAGCGTGTGTCGATAGATACATCGAGTTGTGCCAGGGGAAGTATCCGAAGAAGCTGCAAAAGGTGGAAACGCCATTCCTGGACAAGAGCAAGCCGGAGTTCGACGAGAACCCCGTCAATCCTGAGTTTGACAAGCTCTTCAACCAGGCCATGGACGTGGAGACCCTTAACGCACAGCCGGGATGCCTCGGTAACGATGCGGCAGCAGTGCTGATGAAGGTTCTCTACGGAGCCAGGATGGGCAGGTACGACCTTATTCGTCCCGTACAGGCGTTAGCCAGCCGGGTCACAAAGTGGAATCACCTGCGTGACCGTAAGCTCCATAGGCTTATCTCGTATGTGAACTCTACGCTTGACCTCCATTTATATGGTTGGGTGGGCGATAGCCCAGAGTTCATTGAGTTAGTCGCTTACTGTGATGCAGACTTGGCTGGGGATTGTACCGCACATCAGGGTGCTTATTTGCCTTGTAGGTCCCAGGACCTACATGCCCATCACTGGAGTAAGTAAGAAGCAGACTGCTGTTTCGAAGTCGACTCGCGAAGCGGAGATCGTTGCCCTTGACCATGGAGTGTCCAAGGAGGGAATGGCGTTAGCCACCCTCTGGCAGCACGCCATTGGAAGAGGAAAGGAGGCCCAGCCGTTCATTATCAACGTGCTGGAGGATAACGAATCGGCCTGCCGAATCGTTATCACCGGGAATAATCCCAACACGCGCTATATGTCGAGGACACAGCGCATAGACATCTCTTGGCTAAATGAGCGCTTCAATGATGGCATTTTTCGGTTCGTTGCATGCCCGTCTCAAGGTGCAGACATTTTTACCAAGGCCTGCATCGACAAGGTCGTATGGAACCGAAATCTGCATAGTCTTGGTATGTTCCTGCCAGGTTACCTGCAGGAATACTTGGCCCAACCCACCCAATCTTAAGCCCCCTGCCTCTCCTGGGCTGCCCCCGCTTAGGGGGGTGGAATCAGGTGCAAAATCCGGTTTCAATCGGCTCATAGAGAGGTTACTCTCTGAGTACGAGGGAGTCGTGATCGATGAGGGAAAAGATGCGAGAAAACCATTGTCGCGGACCAGGCGTTAGCCGATGTTTTTGCGTATAATGAATTTTGCAGGGTTGTCACGCTTCAAGTTGCTCCTGGATACAGGAATCACATTGTTCGCACTGGTAGGATTGAAGGCGACAGCCTTTGTTACGTTGTGCTTGCACTCAATGATCTTGCACCCGATAGGGTTGATTCCAGGACTGGGAAGTGGGGACAGACCAGAAAGCTAAGGGATAGAACCGAGAATGCCGTTAGGCAGAGGTTCAACGTTGCTTGTGATGCTCGGACATGCGGGTGTACTCCCGTCTTTCTTTTCCGACCCCAATGTAATGTTTTGAGGGAAGGTGAGGTTGAAAGGATCGCCATTACGCATGGATTCGACTGCAAGTCTGTTTGTGCATGTCAGTGTGGCATCAAGGGACACGGCGTTATCTTCAGGTGTTTCTCATCTAAATCATTGCGAGGATACCCTCTCTCTGCACGACCGGTTGCTTGCTACTCGAAAGTGGTTGAACAACTTCTTTGCCGCGTAGCTTCTGGCTTGAACAAGCTGGCTCACACGCGGGAAACCGCACCACACTCACAGACAGCTCTGGATACAAGGACGAAGCCGATGTGCTTGACTCTAAGGTGTATCTTCTTTCTGCTGTATGACGGACAGATTTGATTGCTTATTCACTAGTTTGTTGCAGTTTTGAAGGAGAAGGTCTCTGGCCGATGGGCTGAGCCTTCTGGGTCACCTTGGGGATTCTAGCCAACACACTGGGTTTCTGGTTCGCCCGCTGAAACCTGCGGAGGTGAGGCATTTTCAGGAGTCGAGCTCCTACCTTGCGTCAAGCGGAACTCGGACGCCTGCGAAGCCGGCGGAGTACAAGTGAAACAAAAGGTTCATCGCCCAGCATGTCCTGGCGAGGGAGCCAGGTGAGCCCTTCATGTACGCAGTCATCCGCAACAGGGCAATCAC